ATCCACCCATCCACCCATCCATATGTACATTTATTCACTTATATGTCCACCTACCTACTCATCTGTTCACCCACCCGCCAAGCCACCCACCCACAGAGTTACCACCAGCTTCTTTCATTCACCCACCCACCCATTCTCCACTTACCCATCCAGTCACCTGTTTATCCAGCCACCAACCATCTACCTGTCCATTCAGCCACACTCTGTCCTTTATCTATCTACGCTCCCTGCGCCCCCCTCCCCTACCTTCAGGTAGAGTGCACTGGCAGCATTCCAGGCCTGGCGCTAGGCACCAAGGCCACAGCGGCACACAAGGCTTTGCATTAGTCCTAGTGTAGGGAAGAGACAACATGTGACTCCAGGCGACCTGGGGGCATGTGAGCAGGGCACATAGAACCCACCTGGGGGAAGGAGAGGGCTAGGGAAGCTTCCAGGAGGAGGAGACTGGAGCTTCGGTGGGTAGGGAGAAAGGGCTTGCTGGGCAGAGGCCAGGAAAGGTGGAGAACAGAGTAGGGAGCCTGGGGCTGCAGAGCTGCTGTGACCAGCCTCCTGCCCAGCCCGTGTGGGAAGGGGAGAGCTGTGAAAGCCTGTTTTGGGGTGGCTGTGGCTGTTCCACCAGGAACAGGTAGGGGATCTGATAGGATGGGGCGGGGCCCGCTGACCAGCTGAGGCACCCCAACACCCAACTCTAGGAGACTTTCCAAGGTCTACCAGGAGCCCCTTCCCCCAACCCCAGGCCCCTCTTCTCCCAGTCACTCTCCCAACCCCTGAGCTGCATCGTTATTTTAGGAAAAGCCTGCCAAGAAAGAGGGTGGCTTCACGGACAGTGCCGCCGCACAGGCCCTGTGCTTAGAAGGGCCCGTAGTTTAACACTGTCTTGAAATCTGAATAACTTTATCTCTGCACTTGTGTTTTGTGAGTGGGACAATGGTGTGTGGGCGTGAGCAGAGGAGACAGGTGCCCTGAGCGTGTCCCTGACGTTCCGCGTCACCCCACGCAGACAGAGAGCCTGAGCAGCTCCGTGAGCGGAATCTGGGGGACACCCTCCCCCCACTCTGCGAGGGAGGCCAGCAGGCCCGCAAAGTGAACACAAGATAAGTGTGTTACATGTGAGGAAGCAGCCAGGGGTGGGCGTGCTGATCCAGAAATCCCTTCAAAGGCATGAAGGCGGCAACGGCTGTAAGGGACGTGGGTAACCAGGGAACCCATCACGTCCTCACTTACTGGCGCTCCCTTCCTGCACTGGCCGACCGCGGACGCTGGAAATGATGCCGGAGGAACAGGGAAGGATGGGCCTGCCCCTTCCCGCCTTGTCCTTCTGGCCCTTTCTGCTCATCAGTTTGCTGATGAGGACGAAGAGCCGAGTAGTGGGGTTGCTGTCCCCTTAGTCACACCACGCAAGACAGGGCGAATGTGTGACATTGGTGATTCCGCCTCTGTTTGCATCTCAGACTCACATTGTATAATATAGAGATGAAGTAGGGTAAAATGTATGCTAAAAATTTAAAGTTTTCTTGACTTAGAGTGAGATTAAATAGCAAATAAAAAACACCATGACAAGTCATGAGACCACGGAAGAAAAGGAAAAACTTTATGCTTTCACATCTTGCGTGACATTCTCCCTGCCTTTTGAACAAGGAGCCTGAATTCTCACTGGCATCAGGCCTCAGCGGTTGTGCAGAGGGTCCTGCAGACGGGTGGAGGGCAGCGTTAGGAAGTGGGCCGGGCACCTCTCGGGAACTGCGTTTGGTGACTCTCCCCCCAAAGCTGCCAACCTTGGTGTGTTCAGTTCTCTGTCCCTGGGAAATCCAGGTGATCTTGTGGTCAGCCCCCAGGGAGGAGCTCACCACACAAAGCATCCCTTTCAAGACCCTCACTGGGGACGGGGGTCCCCCAGGAAGGGTGGGGGCAGCTTCCTGCAGCTCCGCCCTGTGACTGCCTCCCTCGTTTGTGGGACCAGAGCTGCTCCCCTGCTTGGGCCTCCCCCACAGGCCCCCTCCATCTCTGTGTGTCTTTGCCCCAGGGATGCTGAGCATGGGAGGGGCTGGTGTGACTAGGGGTGTGGAGCCCCTGCTGTGC